AAAATTTTTTTTATATGTTGTTTTTTTTTTGCAATTCATGCTAAATGAATTAATTTTATTTAATCCAATTCAAATTATATCTCTTGAATTAATATGATATTTATCATATTTCTTTTTCTTTCTTTTTTTTTTTTTAGGTACATGTGGTGGTATTATAAAAGCATCAAACGGAACTTTTCATAGTCCAAATTATCCATTAAATTATGCACCGCTAAAAACATGTGTTTGGCAAATTGAAGCTGATGATGAATATCAAATTATTGTTAATTTTACACATTTTGATGTGGAAGGAATGAAATCCGCATGTTCCTATGATTATGTTCTCATTCAAAATGATGAAGAAATGGAAGAACGCTATTGTGGACATTATAATTCATTGGTATATACTTCAACAACAAATCGAATTAAAGTTTTATTCGTTTCCGATAATGCGGTTCAGTATTTGATTTTTTTTTTTTCTAAAAAATTTTCATTTTTATTTTTACACTTTCCATTATTTAACCTAAAGTCAAATTCAATTATTAATTTGAATGAAACAAAATTATTAATTTAACAGCTTTTTTTTTTCTGTTTCTTTTTTCATTTCTTTAAAAATTTTTCCTATAAATTTTTATGCGATTTGAATGAAGATTTAACAATTATAAATTGAATTGATAAGGAAAAAAAATAAGGAAATAAAAATGAAAAAATTTTCTCACCTTTTTCCTAAGCAATATCTTTCATGCTTTTACAGATAGAAAAAAGTGGCTTTATGGCATATTTTATCACCGATTTGGATGAATGTCGTAATAACAACGCTGGTTGTCAACAACGTTGTACAAATACAATTGGTTTTTTTTTTTCTTTCTTCCCTCTTTTTTATTTATTAAATTTTGTTAAATATTAGATGATTTTTGTTAATTTTTTTAAAATGGTTACTAATAAATAGTATTAATACGGCAAATTGAGTAGCGATTTTTTTCAAAAAACGATTTTTATATTGAAATTAATGATAATTAAATTGCTAAAATTTATTTTGCAAATAGATCAGGCAGGATGATTTTGAGAATTTTGTTCTCAGAGTATGTTTTTTTTTTTTTTTTTGTTTTTGGTTTTTTCTTCAGTCCAGATGACTTTTTTATTTTTATTCAATTGTAAAAAAAATTTTAAAAATGGAAAAATTTTCTAGGTTCATATCAATGCGAATGTGAAAATGGTTATGTTTTGGCAGATGATGAACATAACTGTAAGGAAGGCGGGTGTAATTTACAACTGTATGATCCAGAAGGTGAAATTACTTCACCAAATTATCCACTCAATTATCCAAAAGGAAAAAATTGCAATTGGCATTTTGTAACTACGCCGGGACATCGTCTTTCATTTGTTAGTATTTCATTCACATAATCTTAATTTCAATTTTTAAAACAAGAAACAGAAAAAAAAAGAAAGAAGAATTATAAATTCGAATTATTATTTTTGGAGATAAATTTCAATAAATCTATCCATGTAATCAAAATAACAATAAAATGATATAGCAGATAGTATGTCCAGATCAGATAACTGAAACAGGAATACAGAATATATAATCTTTTTAATATTAATTATATTACCTCAAAAAAAAAAAATTGAAAAGAACATTTTACAGTCATTTGAAGAATTCATGTTTGAAGAACATAATACATGCAAATATGATCATATCGAGATATTTGATGGTGGCAGCAATGATGCCATATCTTTGGGAATCTTTTGCGGTAGTGATGTACCACCAAATTTGCAATCATCCTCCAATCAACTATTCATGACAATGCATACGGATGCTAGCGTTGATCGTCGTGGATTTAAGGCTTTTTATTCTTCAAGTATGTCAAATAATACATCAATATTCTTATTATATTATTGGAGGTAGATTGAATTTCCAATAAATTTCATGCAAGTATCTTCAATTATGAAGAAAAACATTTAACACGTATAAGACGTTTATAGTAAGTGATGATAGAAATAGAAGAAATTGACCGTTAACAGATAGTAAGGAAGAAAAAAAAAAGAAGGAGTAAAATGAAAG